CATACTCACTTCAAAGAAACCCTCTTGTTTGGAAGAAATTCTCTGACCTTTGAAAAAGTTCGATCAACCTTGTACTCGAAGGATTTGAACGAAACAAAGGAGAACAAGTCATCATCTGTTGGTGAATGATTATTTGTAAAGGGAAGTTTTTTAGAGGAGGATGGTAGATTTGAGAAGAAGGAGGGTAAAGTTTTACAAAATTCATAGGGTGGTAATGTTCTTGTTATTAGGTGTTATCATTATAAAAAGGAGAGTCTTACAAGAAAGTGTGCCTTGATTGGCTGAATAATCATGGTGTTTAAGGATAATGGTAATGCGGCCATAATGCAAGATGATTATGAATCATCTGGTGTCCTGGTAGTTTCAAGCAGCGACTCTAGCAAGGAGTGGATTATGGATCCAGGGTGTACTTGGCACATGACTCTAAACAAAGAGGTGTTTGAGGAATTATGTGATCAAGATGGTGGATTGGGGATGCTGGGAAACAACAAAGCCTAAAGATTGCAGGTATTGGATATGTGAGATTTAAACTCCATTATGAGTCAATAAGGCTATTGACTGATGTTAGGTATGTATCTGATCTTAAGAGGAATTTGATTTATCTTGGTAAAGTCGACAAGAAAGAAGATGTTTTCAAAAGAGAGCAAAGTATACTAAGGGTAGCAAAGGGGTCGAAGGAAGTCTTGGGAGGAATCAAAAGGCAAGGCATGTATACCTTTGAGGCTGAGGTTGTATGTGGTTATGTAGATGTGGCATCCATAAAATCTGTGTCAAAAACTAAGTTATGGCACAAAAGACTTGACATGTCAGTGAAAGAGGCCTGGTCAAATTGTCGGAAAAAAATCTGCTATGTGGTGACAAGGTAGAAAAACGGGAGTTTCGTGAACCTAGTGTATTTGGTAAATCGTGTAGGGTGAAGTTCGACAAAGGCAAACAAAGAACATACAGATCCCTTGATTACATTCATGCTGGTCTTTGAGGGTCTGCAAGAAATCCTTCACACTCAAGTGTAAGATATTTTCTATCCTTAGTTGATGATTACTCGTGAAAATTGTGGGCATCATTCAGAAATCTAAGGATGAAACTTTTGAAAATTTCAAAAGTTGGAAGACTCTGGTCGAAAACCAAACTGGCACGAAGTTCAAGAGGTTGAGGATCGACAATGGTCTTTAATTTTACAATGAGGCTTTCGATAGCTAATGTGTCGCGTCTAGTATTACAAGGCACATAAATACTGCAGGTACTCCCTAACAAAATAGTTTGGGTGAAAGGTTTAATTGAACCATTATGGAAAGAGTGAGGTGCATGTTGGTTAATGCTAGATTGAAGAAGGTGTTTTGGGTTGAGGTTGTTGTAACTGCAGCATACCTGATAAATAGGTGTCCCTTGACTGCCTTGGGAGTGAAAGGCGCCTAGAGAAGTCTGGTCGGGACATCCACCTAGTCTCGGCATACTTAGAGTATTTGGCTATTTAGTTTATGCTCACAGTAGGCAAGACAAGTTCGAACATAGAGCTTTGAGATGTATGTTCCTTGGATACCCTGAAGAAGTTAAAGCTTATAGAATTGGTGCCTAGATTCAAGTCACAAAATGTGTATCACAAGTCGAGATGTAGTTTTCAATGAAGCTAAGATCGATTTCAAGAAAACTGATGACATTGGTTTATGTACAAAGATCTCTAGAGAAGAGCTGAAACGAAAAGAGCTGAATCTCTTATTCCATTGTCGAGAAGATCTTGGTTATGCATATCTCATAACTTTTGCCTTAATTCCTGCAATTGAGGTTCTTGGTGAAGAACCTTGAGACTATAAGGAAGTTGCGAGGAGTCAAAATAATACTGAATGGATGAAATACATGGATAATAAGATGAAATCTCTTCATGATAAAAACACTTGGGAGATGATTGAGAAACCTGTTGGAGCCATGTTAGTCTTTTGTAAGTGGATTTTCAAGGTTAAGGAAGGAATCAAATGATTGTTGTCGAAGAGATTTAAGGCAAGGTTGGTTGTTAGGGATTTCACTCAGATAAAAGGTTTCGACTTTAATGATTTGTTCTCACATGTCGTAAAACATAAATCCATTAGAATGTTGTTAGCCATGGTGGCAAAGTTTGACCTAGAACTTAAACAGATGGACGTGAAGACAACTTTCCTGTATAGTGATCTATATGAAACAATCCCGATGAGACAACCTGAAGGGTATGCAGAAAAGAGAAAATAAAATCATATGTGCAAACTGAATAGGTCATTATATGGCCTGAAACAATCTCCTCGACAATGGAATAAGAGATTCAATAAGTTCATGGCACACACAACTTTAACTAGGAGCCAGTTCGACCATTGTGTTTACCTCTGATTTTGACATGAAGGTTCACTTGTTATTTTGTTGCTTTATATGGATGGCATCCTCATAACAAGCAACAATACCAAGGATGTTATGAAAGTGAAAGTTGAACTCAATAAGGAGTTCAACATGAAGGATCTGGGAGCTGTCTCCAGGATTTTTGAGATTGACACCAGAGAAATAGAAAGCAATCGAGACTATGCTTATATCTAGATACATACCTACTGAAGATTCTCGAGAAGTTTGGTATGTCAAAGTCAAAGCGTGTTGTAACATTGACTAATCCTTAGTTCAAGTTGAGTACGACTCAAAGTCCTAGTACTGAAGACAAAAGAGCATATACGAATAACATTCCATATGTTAGTATAGTAGGTTCTTTGATGTATGTTATGGTTTGTACGAGGCCAAACATAACGTACATAGTGAGCTTTGTAAGCATGTATATGAACAATCTTGAGAAGCCACACCGACGAGCATTGAAGTGGATTCTAAGGTACATAAATGGATCTCTGAGCAGAATCTTGGTTTATGGCGGAGTCTGTGGTGATGATAGCAAAGTCAAAATCGAAGGATTTGTCAACTCTGATTATGCAGGTTGTATGAATTCTAGAAAATCTATTTTTGAATATGTGTTCCTACGTGTGGCACGACAATCAGTTGAAAAGAAACACTTCAGAAGGCTGTTGCCTTATCAACCACTCAAGCGGAGTATATTGACCTCACCGAAGTTGTGAAAGAAACATTGTGGCTTGAAGGTTTTCCTAAGGAGCCAAAACTTCAAAGTCAAGTTATCACTATTAAATGTGATAGTTAAATTTCCATACATTTGTCTAAGAATTCAACTTATCATGAGCGAACCAAACACATCGACATGAGGCTGCATTTTGTCAGAGAGATAATCGAGCGTGGAGAATTTCAAGTGTCAAAGGTTTCGACCGATGATAATGTTGCTGATATGATCACCAAGACATTGACAAGTTGCAAGTTTTTCTACTGTATGTAGTTGAAAATAATGCATGATGACAACTAGTTGATTTCGTTGTTCAGAGTTTGTTGTTGTTGCACCCCAAATTTGTCCTACCTTTACATAGTTTCTAGTGCCACTTTTTTTTGAATGAATAAAATGGCACAATTGGCAAAAGACTTCGAGAGTTCGAATCCCACCTTAAAAACATCCAAAAATCATAAAATTAAAAATATTATAAAAGATTTTATTCTTTTAAGTTTGTTTTAGTTTGTTTTTTTTAGTTTTGACTAATTATTTAAGTTGGGCTTTAAAATAGGCATTAGGTTAGAGTTAACCCTAATTTGGTTACCTATATAAACATAAGTGAGGGGAGAGCACAAAAGAGAAAAAAACGGCGGCCGTTCTCACGACTTATCAGAAGAGGAAAGCGTCAGCAAATCCACCAAACGGCGCAAAACCACCGCGAACTGCTTCGAAGCGCAAAACCACCGCGAACTGCTTCGAACCCCGAACGAGGTGAGCAGTTCTTTTTGTCAATAAAAAAGTTTTGTCAAAGTCGAAGAGCTCTACCAAATTTGAAAAGCTAATGTAGCTGTTGAAATATGTTAGTATGTTGTTTAAGTTAACATGTTGAATTTGATCAGTCTGTTGGACCAATTGTTTAATATGTTAGTTGAAGGTTATGATTTAATTTTCTTATAAATAGCATACTAGTTCTCACTTTCCAAAAAATAAAAAAGAATCCTGAACCAAGAATCCAATTTTTAATCACTTTGAATTGTCTTCCCCTTTTCTTCAATCTTTCCCTTTATTTTATAATTTTCTTGTTGATTAAAAAATAATCCTATTCTATTTTCTTAAGCATCGTTTCCCGATAAATAAAAATTCATTTTGTATGCAAATGATCATTAAATATAATTGTACTCATACATCAAGTGGGAATATTCTTCAAACTTAATTGTTAAATTAAAAATTTATATCCTTTATGTCATAAATTTCTATATCAATACATTATAAATTTCTATATCAATACATTATAGATATAGAAGAACATTTTTTTGAATTTTTAAAACAAGAACATGTCTTTTAATAAACACAAAAATAATTAAGAAAAAAGAAAAGAGAGATGTGAAATAAAAAGTACAATCAAATCCATAAATTTGATATTGAAGAAAAATGTAATCAATCATTATAAAATAAATTGTATCAAATTAGAATAAATTGTATCAAATTAGAAGTTATTTAATAATATAAAGAAAAATCATTAATATGTTTTTTTTCTCTATTATAGAAAAATAATATTTTTTTCTTTATTCTTTTAATTTTTAATTTTTTTTTCACATCATTAACAAATTAGTGTAATTTTGTAAATCCTTTTATAATATCTCTTAAATTTCATTAAATAGTAAAATTAAATGATAATTAATCTTGAAAATTTTAAGAACAGTAACGTTTTTTCCCACAAAACAAAGAGCACTGTTCGTGGCAGTGACGACGGTGGCGAAAACGCGACAATAGCCACTCGTGGCGGCGGCAGTGCAAACCCTAAGAAGAAACCACTGTTTGTGTTCTTCAACTGCTTCGTTTTTTTTTTTTTTTTTTTCATATACATATAAGAAAATCATTAGTTTGAATTTTGAATTAGGGTTTCCTAATTTTGAATTTTGAATTTTCATTATTTTCCATGAAGATGAAGAATTGCACCATTGATGATGCATTAGAGTTAGTCACAGCAGTAAAAGTTGAGTTTCATGATCAAAAGTACCATTCTTTTTTAGAAATTTTTAAAGATTACAGAGCTCAAAGAATTGATACAAGGGTTGTTAGATTAAAAGTGTATCAATTATTTGAAGGCCATAGAGATTTAATTTTGAGATTCAACACCTTTCTGCCAACTCAATATGAAATCAAACTTCCATTAGATTATGACGATAAACAACAACAATGTCGTCGTCGATTAGAGGTAGGACAAGAAGATGCATTAGCTCAAGAAGATGCATTAGCTTTTTTGAAGAGAGTAAGAGATGTGTTTCATGGTAAGAATAAGGAAAAATATGATGAGTTTATAGAAATGATGAATGATTGCAAGGCTCTGAGAATTAATACTAGTGTTGTTGTGGATAGAGTGAAGGAGCTGTTTAAAGGGCATACAACTTTGATTTTGGGATTTTATGACTTCTTGCCAAAGGAATATCGAGACGATCTCATCCAATTAGAGGTAAAAGATGCATTAGCTTTTCTCAAGAGAGTGGGAGATGTGTTTCAAGGTAAGAATACGGAAAAGTATGGTGAGTTTTTAGAAATTTTGAAGGATTTTAAGGCTCAGAGAATCGATACAAGTGTTGTTGTGCATAGAGTGAAGGAGCTGTTTAAAAGGCATACAAATTTAATTTTGGAATTCAATGCCTTCTTGCCGAAGAATTATCAAATCAGACTTCCACTTCAGCTTCACACTGGTTAGTACTTGACATATGTTGATGATGTTTTGTTTATTTATTTATGCAGTTTTTTACGCTAATCTGCCGTAAACTTAGCTATCTCATTATATTGAGTTTTTGTAAATTGGTCTGTCTTTGTTGTATTGAGAGAAATGAGTGTAATGAACTCTTAACTTAGGGACTAAGTTGATGGATTTTTGCATGATTAAGTGATTAAGTTGCGACATTTCGCACTTGTAGGGTATGACTTATAGTTTACTGTTAAGTGGGCAGGTCGATTGAGGTTTAGGGGCAAAGTAGCGAGACTCTTCAATAGAAAGTAAGGGGTATGAGAGAGAAGATGGAGAGAAGCTAGGTTCATGTTTTCCAAGTGTCTAGGTCTCAAATGAAGAACAGATTCAGATTCCGAGTTTAAATTGTTTGAATGAGATTTGGAATGGGTCAAACCCAATTTTAACTTTATCTTTCACGAAAATAAGCATTTTTAGAGGTTGATATCGATTCCAAGCATGTGTGAGTCGGTTTAAGATGTGCTTCTGGTTTTAAAATTTGAATTTGACATCTTTGAATAAATTCCGTATAAGCATGAATTGATTCAATTGGCCAAACTGCTGAAAAATAAGTTGTGACTTGAATCAATTCTCAGATAAATGAACATTTTTACAAGTTAAACAACCGAATCTTGTATTGATGTGTTCGTAAGAAATGTAGATATGGATGTTTGGAATCCAATGGCATAAATGGTTTTACCTGTTTGTTTTCATCCCTTCAATAATTCCCACTATTGTTTGAGATTTAATCTTAATTTTCCATTTTATCGATGTGATTCAAAGGGAACAAAGTGAAGAAGGTAGCAGTGAACTGTGAAATTCCTTGGGACCTGCTCGATATCATCTCCAGGAAACTAGATTTTGACGACGTCTTCGGATTCGCTGGTGTGTGCAAGAGTTGGAGGGAATTTCATAAAACTTATTGGAGAAATTTCATGGCATCCCAAGAACCATTACTTCTTCAAAAGTCTTCTCATGATAAGAAATCTTTTTCCTTCATCAGCATACAAGATCAAAGAGTTTATCACTCAAAGACAATCAATCATTTTTGGAATTTCGCCTATTCTGGGTCTTCTAGCGGATATTTGATCATGACAACCGAGAATAATTCATTTATACTGATGAATCCATTTACAAGAAAAAAAATCGAAATCAATACATCAGCCTTTAAAGTCGAGTTTTCTATTTTCGCTTACCATGTCTTACTTGCTTTTGTCAAAGGCTCGACGGAATTTGTATTAGTGGCTTTATGTACAAGTTCTAACAGTTTACATGTCTATCAATCTCGAAGCTCCGATTGGATTACTTATTCGACAAAAGGAAAACCATGGAAGGTTGTTGACTTTGCTGTTTTGCATAATACTATATATGTTGTAAACGACAAGGCGAAGATAGGTGTACTCAGCTTGAATTCTGCAAATATAAATTTTTTAGAATTGAAGAGTACTCCCAAGGTAAATTCTTCCTCACACCTAAGATTGGTTAGTTGTGACAACGGAAAACTTCTAATGATTCATATTTTGTCTCGGAGAATATTGAATGTGTACGAGATAGACTTGTCAATCAAGAATTTTGTCGAGATGAAAACTCTGGGCGACATTGCATTATTTTATGCTTCGGGGAAATACTTCTACGCGTTGAGCAACCCGGGAAGATGGGGCTATGAAAGCAATTCTTTGCATGCCATCAATCTTTCATCTACACAATGCATAGTGTCTATAGGGAATGATAACAAATTGCCAGAATACATTAGCCATGATAGACTAAGTAATCCTCCTAAGCGAAGACCCTACTTGTTGGATTGGTGTTTTAAACATCTACACTATGAAGTGGATTATTCTCTTGTTGAGTAACATTGTGGTTTTTGTGATTGGACTTTGTTCCTTTTGTTTGTCAGTTATTTGAATAGACTGAAAAAACTTGTCTATGTTTGGATATACTTTCTTGAATGTAATTAGTTTTGAAAGCATAAGTTTTAACATTTTTATTTTATTTGTCACAAGGATATAACCACTCATGTTTTATCTTAATGGAATGTAAGTGCATGACACTTTTAGTCATTAGACTCGCTTTTATTAGAGATGTCCGTGCTATAGAGACTACTATAATAGAGATAATCGCGACACATCTTTTACAGATGTTTGTGCTATAGAGACTACACTAATAGAGATAAACGTCAGCATCAGACATGTCTTTTATTCGAAATGTTCTATAGAGATTACACTAATAGAGATAAACACTAGCATCAATAGAGTTTACACTAATAGAGATAAACACTAGCATCAGACACCCTTTTATAGTGATGTTCGAGTTACATAGAGTACTATAATAGAGATAAAATAAAAGTTTAATACACAACCATTGTCTCATCTCAATTCTATATATAATGCTTAGTGTTTCTGCACCATTAAAAATGATAAAGTTCAGCAAGTTAATGAACTTAATGCACTAATTCAATTGACTAACTCAATCCCAGTCAAAGGAAGCCCATCATGAAGTTGAAGAACCACATCACCAACAACCTATATAGTAAAGTAACAGTCAAGAAAAACATCAGATTCACAGTATTTTTGTTCTCGCAAAAAATTCAATTTAAGTACAAGGAAAATTATTTTTTTACGGAACCACGCGCACCTTAGCCATGGATCTATATGAATGTTCGGTAACACCTGCAATATGAGGAGTCATGATAACATTCTTAAATTTCAATATCCGATCGTCGGGATCAAATGGCTCCGTCCATGCAACATCGGTGCCTAACCCTCCTAAATGACCGGATTCAAGGTGTTCGACCACAGCATCATAGTCTAAAAGACGACCTCTAGCAACATTCACCAGAAGAGCACCCTGAAATATTTAGTATACTTGTTTAACAAGAAACCTAGCTTAAAAAGTGAAGTAAATTCAAGGAGTTGATTTGAGATTGTCAACAAACCTTTTTCATAGAAGATATGAAGCTATTGTTTACAATACCAGCCTGAAAAAGCATTGTATCCGAGTAAATAAGTATACATAGCCGAAAATTCCAGCACGATCAAATTGTAATGATATAACAAATGCGCAACAAAACTAGCTAGAAGTAATAGAAGAAAGTAGAAGCTTGGAACTTTGGTAAAATAAGATTGGAAAAGGTTTAACCGTTTCGCTGTTTAAGCTTAAGCAGCAAACAACAATGTCAGCTTTCGCCGCAAAATCATAGATATCTTCAGAAGTACCCTTCTCATCAACAAGATCATCAACATCATCTTCAACAAATAATGTAGATCATGTTAAGAAATAGAACAATGAACTAATGTTATTGAAAAGTAATAATCGACGATAATAGGTAAGGAAAATACTTCTGATTTCGCTACTGTGTTGTGCAGGTGAAGCCCAGCTTCGCTTTGTAGCAATAACTTTTACACCAAATGGTTTCAATCGCCGTGCTAAATCCGTTCCAATGTTCCCGAAGCCCAAAATGAATATCTACATGATCATGAGAAAGTAGTAAGGGATGCAGAATACTATTTTTTTTTCAAACCGATTAAATATACTAACCGTTTTCCCGAATATAGTATCACTGGTAGGCTCTCCAAGCTTTCTTTGTTTTATCGAAATCTGCAGTTCATTCTGCACAGACGGATTTGTTTTTTCATAAATAAAACAACATTCAACACAAATATTTGTATGTAAATTTCACTTAGTACATAGACTAAGAAAGTTGAAATTTCAGCGCAAAAACCGGTCTCGTGTCACAAAATTAACAAAGAATGAAGGAACATTTTTTATTTCGAAATTGAAGTTACTATACTTGCTTACGGAGGAGACCGAGCATTAGATATATGGCCATTTCAGCGCACGAAGCAGAATTTCCAGTTACATTACCAGGAATCCTAGCAACTTTGATTCCATGCTTTGTTGCAGCATCGATATCAACGCCTAGGAGGAAAATTAACAATTGATCAAAGAGATAAAAATGAAATTCATCAGTAAAAGCTCAACTGAGAATAATCATGGTACCTTCTAGCCCAACACCGTATTGCATTATAAGCTGCATCTGAAATGCACGTGAAATCACATTCGAATCTAGCTTCATACTTTTTACGATGCAAGCATGATAGTTGCCAATAGCATTCGGCACTTCTTCCAAAGGTAGAACGTCAACCTAAAAATGCAATAGACAACTTACTCGTATGAACTATTGTATTAAACGTAGTCACAAGTGTTAGTATCAGTTTCAGATACTGATACAGACACACCTTTTTTCATAGGTGTCGGTATTACATAGAATTCAACAAATGGTTATCCATCTTTCTTATATAAAAAACAGATAAAAAATTCAAAACTAAAAAAGAAGCTGAAACAAAACAGTAACAATATACTTATATTACTCTAACAGAAACATACCTTTATAGATGAATGATTCTGCAAATATTCAGCTGTATATTGATTAGAAGCTGGAAAGTGATAACCACAAAACAAAACACGAGTGATTTTTTTCTCAACATCCTTTATCATCTTCTCATTTTTCTCCATCAGTTTTTTCCTATGCAACAACAACAAGATTGAAATTATCTATAAAGCACATACTCTAACACGGACACTGCGACACAACACTGACACTCCGACACTAATAAAAAACCTAGGACACCGTGTCAAAATCAACTCTACACATTCGGAATCAATTCGGGATGCTCCAATTAGGTGAATTGTGTGAATGAAATCACTTAAAACTATCATTGGTTCATTCATCTTCATCCATTGAAGCAAGAGTGTGTGAATTGTTAATAGTAAAGGAAACTAAGCATTATATAAATAATAAAATATTCATTTGAAATTGAAATTGAAATTGAACTCATTCCAACAAGAACAAAACATAAAAAAATCAAAGAAACATACCAACCTCGGATCCTGAGATATTGTTGAGAAAATACGCAGATTTTGTGTAAACAAAGATTTGCTCCTCCTCACTAACAACCACACACTCTCTCTTGTCATTATATTTATACTATTATACCAACTGGGGAATAGTGTTAACCTATAGTACAATGCTAAGGTGTAAGAATTTTGGTGTTTGAATCGCAATCCTTTGGATTTCATGGGTCAATACATTCATTTATTCTTTGAAATTAAAATAGAGTATTTTGTAAATACAAGTTAATTGTGGGGTGTATTTGTTAAAGGACCCAATTGCAAAGTCACTAGTGTAAATATAGAGTTAATGTATTTTCCCCCTTTAATTTAATTTAAGATTCTATTTTAGTCACTTAGCTAAAAATATATTTTTAGTCTTTTAAAAATTGTTCTCAAATTGGTTTTTTTTATTAAATTTGATGAAAAAAATTTTTAATTGTGCATATGTGACAATTTAGTTGTAATGATGTTATTTGATGTGGCTTTGTTTGTATTTATTTTGAAGTAATTATTATTTTTAACCAAACACTTGAATTGCCTTTAATCCTAGTATCATTAATTTCATTTGATTTGATAATGAAACCCTTTAACTTGTTCTTGTTCTCTCAAATATGGGAATTCTAAAATCTAATCCCTTTCTCTCTCTTGATGTGTATTTTCTCTGAATATGTTTCATTTTGGGATTTAATTTTTTTTCTTCATTTTGATGACTATAAAATTATTTACTGTTATTTTACGATTTTGAAAATTAGTCACCGAAGAAATTATCGAGTCGCTTTCTGAAATTCATCTCCCTATATTAGAATATTGACATAATGTTTCAAAAATCCTCCACTTGAATTTAAAAAAGTGTTTTAAAAGTAACGTTAAACGTTTCTAAGATTGTGCATAAAAAAAAGTGTCCATGACTTGAACCTTTGCGTAACAAGTAGGATTCTGATTCAACAAGAGTGACACAATTGTCTTGAACTCTATCTCAAATATCAAACCTGCACACAACCTTTTTTTAAGGTGTATTCTAATATCCCGTGCACTAATGATCTTGCACGTGTATCCCGGTTTAGTGAAGGCTTTAGGAATTTTTCCTCAAAACTTTGTAGGAATCGACCTAAGTTCCACAATCACATAGGCGAGTCTATTAAGAGTACTCTTGTATCCTAGGTAATCTCTCATACAAAGTATAGATCTCATTAAGAGTTCCTATTATCTCATCATCTTATTACTTCAGGATTCTTGCTTCATTTGCATGATCATCTCATATTGCTCACAACGTGTTATTACTAATTGAACCTATTTCTTGAGATCTTATCTCTGGTGAGTAAGGACTCTTAGGCTGTATTGGTCTAGTCTAGATGATTGGTAGAGATAAGATTTCGGATGCATTTGGTAACACTTCTTTGTCTTTTGAAAATGTTGTATGGACTCAATAGAGGAGGTATTATTTCAAAAATTTGAGCATCTTCAAGAACATGAGAGTACTCAATAAGGTTTTCTATTTTATGAGAATTAGTCTTTTTACAGAGTTTAGGAAGTGATAAAGAAGAAGTAGTAGTGATAGGTTGAGTGTTTGGTTCCGGTGTTTCCATGTTTAAGTGATTTCTCCCTTACTCACTCTCTTTATTATATTCATACCATATGCACCCCTTATTTTCTGTTCAGGCTCTGATACCAAACTGTCCGGGAGCCTTACATGCCATGAAACCCAACCTTAACTGTATCGTCCTCCAATAGCCAACCATAGCCAACCATAGGGAAAGGTGGGGAAAAAGGAGGGGGAAGTGGTAGTGGAGGAGATTACGGTGGTGGAAATGGAGGTGGAAGTGGTAGTAGAGGAGATTATGGTGGTAGAGTTAGTGGTGTAAGTGGAGAAGGTGGTGGTAAAGGGGGAGATTATGGTGGTGGATCAGGTGGTGGTAAAGACACTGGTAGCGAGGGAGATTATGTCGGTGCAAGTGGTAAAGGTAGCATATAAGATTATAGTGGTGCAGGTAGTGGCAACGGATCTGGTGGTGGAGGTGGACGAGTAGGAGGTGGATAAAGTGTTGGAATCAAAGGATACAATGGAGAATGAAGTATACGAGACAACAATGAAAGTGGAAGAAATGTTGGAAGCGAATGAGGAAAAGGGGGTTATTTATGCAATGGTAATGGTACATGAGACTTCTATGATTTATGGCAAATATAAAAAAGATAATATATGCTCTTTGCAAATTTCTTTTATTAATAAACGTATCTCATAATAATAGTATTGTCTCTCTTTATATGTAATACATGAATTATGAATAATAAAAATTGAGATATTGATAATAATAATAATACCTCCGTTTTTTATTATAAATCGTCTTGGAAAAATATTTTGTACCACAATATAAGTCATTTTATAATACCAATGAACCATTAATGTTATATTTTCTATTATACCCTTAAATATTTATTATTTTCTCTATTTTTAATTATGATTCGGATTCTCATAATTCTAATTTCATCTTTGACGCAGAATTGATGATTTTAATTGTTTTTGAGGGATAAGTTAGGTTTTCCCTGTTACCATTTTTCGTAGTTTACTTTTTACTTTGTTTTGTTCAGGGTTTTGGTATAGTCACCTCACGTACATAATTTTCATTTTCTTTTTATTTATATTTGAGCTATGGACAAAGGACAAAGGTAGCTAGTGGTACCAACATAATTGAGATAATTAGTTATTCCTTTAATGAAATAATGCTCTCAATTAAAATATTTATAAATAAAAAAAAGATAAAATGTAGTAGTGAGATGCATCTATCTATAAAAAATAAAAAATAAAAAAATATTTAAATATATATTTAATCTCTACAAATATATAATGTCTTTTATTTAGTTTTAATTCTTAAAAATATATGTCATTTTGTTTTAGATCATTATTATTTTAGTTTTTTAGGTTTTGTACATAGCATATTTAATTTTAGTTCTATAATGTTATTATCATAATGACTTATGTTCTGAATGTTGTTGTGAATTACTACAACATTCAATATCAATTTGTGACGCAAAGAACAATAGCAACAACAAAAAATGGTTTTCAGCAATAATAAATCGTACAGAGATGAGATAATATAACAGAATATGGCAAGAAAAATCGAAGGTTTGTTTACCCAGTTCGATCAAACGATCTACTATGGGGGAGAGAGCAACTCTCTAATTCACTATACTCAGAAAGTTGTTACAATAGATTACAAACGATCTACTATGGGGGAGAGAGCAACTCTCTAATTCACTATACTCAGAAAGTTGTTACAATAGATTACAAATGAGTTACAAGAAAATAGTCTTCGCCTTCAGGTTCCCAAGAACAATCTTATTTCCTACCCAAGTGTTTTTCTAGGTTTTCTTTGTGCATAGCTAAAACCATATGTTATACCTTTAAACTCTTGGTCTCCCTTGTTACACACCAAACATATAAGAGATACATATTTATAATAACAAATATCCAACAAACAAAGCCCAAAATCACATGGATCAAATCGAAAAAGCCCGAAAATTCGAAAATACTATTCATCGTACGAACACACTATTTATCCGTACGGATAGTACTATTCACCAACAGATTTTATTTTATTTTTGTTTTTGACTTTTTAAAACTTTCGATTTTCGCAGTAAAGGCAATCTCCAAAATATATTTTCTTTCTCTTTATCAACAAAAATTTTAAGACAAATTTACAACAACTTAAATAATATTACCTACATATTTCAGAGATTAATATAAATAAATTTTGCAAGATTGAAAACAAAAATGACATAAAATTCTAATGATGAAAACCATATATAAGGGTTTAGGGTTTAGTAATATATATATATATATATATATATATATATATATATATATATATATATATATATATATATATATATATATATATATATATATATATATATATATATATATATATATATATATATATATATATATATATATATATATATAAGACTTAAAAATATATATTTATAAATATCAAATACTTATTTTATTAAAATAAAAAATATTTTATTAACGTTTATTAAAATAAACATATTAAATATATTTTTCTTTTTAATATGCATACAAAACGACAAATACAAATATCTAATATAATATTATCATCATTATCAATTGACTAGTCTTCACATAATGGTTTTAAAAAATTATGAAAATGAAAAATAAAACTTTAACTAATTTTTCTTAGTTAGATAGCAATAAAGAATAAAAATAAAAAAAAAACAATTCCACCGCCCTACTCAACTTTGTAATCTCATTTTATTTTATTTTCAAACAAGTTATACTTTTTATGAATTCTTAAACTTTCATTTTGTCATCAACCTTAAATTAGATGCCTTTTTTATTGTCCTTTTTCATATCTTATTCAACAAAATTGAATGAAACTTAAATTTAATATGCTGACAAAAGATAGTATTAATAATAAAGTTCTACATCATTAATAGCATTTAATTTGATGATGCTTTTCACGCACTATAAATAAGGGTGTTGTAAAAACATTTTCTTCCATCATTTTTTCAAGTATCATTGTGTTTTCTATTTATTTATTACAATAATGAATATCAAATATTTTGTTTTTCTCATACTTCTAGTTGGTGTGATTCTCATCTCTAGAGTGGTGGCTGATGAACCAGATCCTGATCCACCAAGTATGAACCTTTAAATCAACATCATTTTATTTTTTATCAACTTTATTTAAAATTTTGGTGAATTGAAATCGATAAAATATTATAAAAAAAAACATTCACATTATTTGGTGTAAGATTAAATCTTGTTATTGCAGTAATTGAATTATTTATGTTGTTGATGAAGGTCTAAAGATAGACATCTATGAAGAGGTTAAGGGATGTTACAAGCATGAAAAAGGTAATTTTTTAATATGTTTTACATGCTTTATTTTAATGAGATTGATAAATAATGTGAATGTTGGTTAATTAAGTTAATAGAATAAATTTTGCAAATTTAGGTGGAAGGAAAATGATTTTGGAGCCACTTCATGATGAAATATGCAAGGAAAAAGAAAGCAGAGAGCATGGTGATAGCAAATTTGGTGGTATTGGAGGTGGAAGTGGTA